GTACGAGTCGTGCAGCGCAATTGAATATCTTTTAATTAACTGTACGCTGGTGAAATTGAACGGAGAAAGAAGACCAGTATAAGCACATTCTATTCTATCAAGGACTTTTTTTCGGCAACATCTGTAAATAAACTCCTGCTCACTTCTTCAATTCTAATATTCTGCCTATAATATTGTACAACTGAAAGACGTAGTCACTGACGAAAGCAGTAGAGCGCTAGCTACTCGCCACCGAAAAAATTATAGAAAGAAAAGTGCTGGAAGCCACATGTCGCGACATATCCCAGACATGGTGATCAGACGGCGCACGAGAGCATTAGATGTTGTTGTTTGTTGATACCATTCCCTTGAGTCGCTTGCAGGGCGTCACTGGTTAAGCAGAATGCACTGTCATTGTCAACTTGAGCTAACAGAGCTTATAAAACAAACTCTCCTAGAATTGTAATGTATGGTCGCTAGAAATGACAATACAGACTGAGGCATCTGGTAATCCATTGCTGTATGAAATGTTTCTTTCCAAAAAACTAATCTGCTCTTACCTTCTTCCTCCATGTCGCATACGGATTTCCTGGTCAACGTTTGCAATATTTCGGCTGCCACACGAGAAGATCACTGGTTAGAGTTAATTGTGCATTCTCAACAGGTGTGCTTAACAGGACCAACATCCTTTCCTTACATCTTCCGTTCCTTTATTTTTTTTCAGCATCAGTTTTTTTCGTCCACACATCCTCCGAGGCATCTATGCCCGGAGGAAAATAAATTCATTTTTTACGTGGTGCTATCATTTAAGCATCATAATTCATTGACCCAATGCTACTGTACGCAGTTCAACCATCATTCTTGCTCTTTCTTTACAACAACTATCGCCAGAGCAGCAGAGGCAAAGTAGTAGCGGGTTTTCGTGGGAAGAGTAACTACTGTCTCAAAGTAAAAGATTCGGCACATTTCGAAAAACATTCTAGGCTAAGGCGATCTTCCTCTTAATCTCTGGTTGGATGGAGTAATCGCTGAGAATAATGGAACCGAGATAATTAAACTGGTCAACCTATTGAAGAGCTTTACTGCTCTGCTCTACTTATGGGTCAGCTGGATTGTCGAATAAGTACTAAAAGCCCTAACTTCTATTTGCCTTAGGACCCACTGGTCTGTCACTAGTTACTTGCTCGATCGCTCATGCTCTTCAATTTTAACTCGTAAGAGTCGCAAAATTTGGCGAACATATCGAAAACCACAGCTTGAACAGTTGATTTGAAATTCTACGCCCGCATATAGACATGTTACTGTCGATCATGAAATCGACTTCGCTCGATCAAGAGTTATCACCCAGTCAATGAAATTATTTGAACGACTAGTACTACAACCTCTTTTGATTGATTCATTAGGAAATAACATGAAGTGCCTGATTGGCTGATGAGGTTCGGAAAGTCAAATCAGAAACTTATATAGTTGTACGGCGCATTCCATCCTGCATAACATAAAGGCGTTTTTAACCGTTAATTATTCTGATTTAAAGTATGCTTCTTTGAACTCTTTATTATTGTTTAATACCGCTAAAAAAATAATATTGTTTTTAGGTACATTTAGATTCAAAGCGTCTGATTGCGCCTTTCAACAAAATTTTGTCAACTTAGCCATCAGCAAACGACTTGAGTAATTTCTTATCGCCGCGACGACCGATAATTAAGTTTAGAAAAAATTGTTCTGAATGGCTACGTGATAAGTTGTTCATGTTTTGAAAAACGGCGGTTTGCTTAAACGCAAAATCCGAAGTTTATGTGAGATCGTTATTTAATCAACGAACTTTCTCAACTACTTCTTTAAAATTTTCATAGTTTGCTACAATGACATCTATCATTTCAGATCCCAATGACAGTGAAAATTTTCCAATAAGGTTAAATTGGTAGCGATTCATGTGAAATATTAACTGCGGGAGGCTGATGTGACATATATAGGAACCGAAGCCACTCTGCAGTCAGATTGATGAAATACGTCTGAACAGAATGAGGCAAATCTGGCGACTGTCTGCAAATTACGTCGTCGCAGCTCAGCACAGGTGAGGCGCAAATTCGCCTCCGGTAACTATGCACCCGATCGAAAAACGTCGAAATTCTGGACAATGGGGAGTTCGAAATATAGCGCGAAGAGCCATTTAAGAAGACACTTTGGAAAAAATGTCGCGTCCTATCCTGTTTAAATGACCTATCCTGTTTAAAGACCTGTTTTAATGTTGTCGAACTTGACTGATTTGCATTCACGACGGTAAACAAAACTCGTGCACCTTTCTCGACTTGACCATCACACTGCTGCTGACCTTGAGACACGTTGAAGTCAGATGTGGAATATGCCAGATTCCATGCCGAAGGTCAGCACGCCGAAAAATCGAGCGGGTCAAATCGACGACGGCGATCGTAGTCGTCATCGTCGTCGCCGTTCGTCATTTGTTCCGCAAGAAGTATAGTGTTATGACTCGTTACGATATCGGAGGTCCGATGAATTTCTTTGCCGACCGACGACTGCCCCAGTTCTCCCTAACAGCGGCCTGTCGTCCCATGCAAGGTATGAGGAAGTTCTGCAGTTCTGCCTCTTGCTAATTTCTCGAAAACTGGTCGATCGCTCACACACTTCCGGTGGAATGATATTCAAATATTTTTCCTTGAATATCAAGTCATCTATAGTTCTCCAGTGCGAGTTAAATTGTTGTTGACGCTTTTCTCTGTGTTGAAACCAGTTATTAATTTCACTCTTCCTTTTCGATCCATGATTTGCCATAAAAAACCCTTTTGTACAATTTTTTGAATGTCGAACCTTCAATTCACAAGCTGAAGGAATGCACCGTTGTAGAGATACATTTTTATAAAAACTTCGAAACAATCACGCATGCAATGTTAAAAGGTTTCTTAAAGGGAGGTTAAGCAAAACTATAGCCTGTTCACTGTTCTTCTTCGTCAGAGCTTGCGTGGTAGTCCTCATCATTTGTTCTCTGAATGTTTGGGTTTCCATATTATCAGTTTGCGTGCCAGTCAAATGCTTGATTTACACAGCAAATGTTGAACTGCACAGGTCCTACTTTTCAACATCTGTCGCATGTTGGCCGGGTAGGACACATGAACAAAGTTGCTGTTGCACACTTTTGTAGTAAGCGCCGTTGGAGACCGTACAATAAGCGTACCACGCGTTTTTGCAAAGTTTTTATTTCTAGTCGGCAAGTTAAAATGACTTGGCTGCAATGAGGTAGAGATGGATCTTCGTAATGAATGATATTCCTTTCTTCAACCCACTTTTTAGGTTTCTGAAAGAGTGAGAAGCAAGGCAAATTTTCTTTATCAAGTCCTGATCTAACTTCACTTGAAGTTTTGAGGCCAAAGTACTTATTTAAAGCAGTGGAATTGCTTCACTGCTTCGAAGGTACTGCCACATTTCAGTTGTTCGTTACCTTAGTACTCGATGAGATATGTTTTGGCAGTAATTGTGTACGTCGCCTCCGTTTATGAGCGGAGGCCTCATTTACCCTTACTCATTGAGGATGTGTCGTCTGCGGAATTCAAGTGAGCTAGATGATCATCATGGCCCTATAGGAGAACTAAAACTTCATTGGACAATGATTGAGATTGATGATATCTGTCCCGGTACAGCGAAGATCTGTTGTCGATGAAAAACTTTCTTTCGTCGATGCAATTAACAGTTCCGAATATCAAGATGCTATATTTGGAATTGAACGAATATCCCAAATCTTAAATGAACTGCAGGTTTGCACTGATGCCATAGATGAAGATGAGAGAAACACACAACGAAGGACTTCGCCCAATATTTCCTGCATTGTCTGCGGTGTTTTCTTAGCAGAATCACAGAATGCACTGACCTGGGTTCTGGAGTGCAAATGGAAGAGCGTTTCTCTCCGCAAGCTTCTGGTTGATTTTGATTCACGTCCATACTGTCCATCGACTTTGACGGCATTGCCTTGCATGTCACGGACTTATGGTATACTCAATAATTTCAAAACTCTCGTGACATTTGTAGGTGAAATTATAGGTTTCAGCCAGTGGCTTATCTCTTATGAGTGAGTTTGGTGAAAAATTGAAGTTTCTCACCTACTCTGACCAGCAAGAAACTCTGAAAGGAGCCGAAGATTAAAGGTTTCATAATTTGCAGCAATTCTTCATTAAGATGGCCTGTTTTATGCACGATCGTTACTATTGCCTTTATTTTTCTGCATTTTCATTCCATCCCTTTTTATCTGGTCAACAAATTGCTATAGTGAATAATTTGATACCATTTTAAAAAATTATTCCTTACCTCTTAGAACCATAGCGTAACATATTCATTCAGCATTTTCCGTTATGAGTAATGGCAGATAAGTTGTTAAGCATGATCGGTCTCAGTGGTTCAGTATAGCATTACTAGATTAAAAATCTAACGCTGTTGCTAAGCGTGTTGAATACAACTTCTCTTGCCGCGTGTTTATAGGAAAAGTAAATTACGCTGAATGATACCGTGACCTTTCGTAGCGATGGTGATCGCCTTGCGAACTATATGACCTTTCTGTGATGCATCAGCGCCTTCCTGGTGCTGCGTCAACATCAAGATAGACTGAATCTAGGCCATATCAGTACTGCATGTCGATGCTCATTCGGCATTGGGTACTGGTGGTATTGCTGCTATCTGAAGCCATTCATTCTAGCAGGTTTTATCTTTTAAGAGTACCTGCGTTTGCTCAAATCATGAAGCAATAATAATGCCATGTCATGATGCTGTTGACCTTATTGTCAAGAACTAACTGAAAAGTGAGCAGATTAAACTTTTTGATTACATTTATATCTTTATGATCCAACTTATTTCTGGGCTTTCTGCAAGAGGTACTACAAATTTTTAGATTGAGTTCATTAATTTTCTGAAAGTAGCCTCGATTTGAAGTGAGCGGTTTCCAAAACAAAAAGTATTTCGATGCAGTAGTCAAGAGCACAAAAATAATGCGAATGAATCTATATTACATTAAGATTATGGATCAAATCGAAATCTCCATCATCAGAACAGCAAAATCGAAATTGTTACTTACGTTGATATTTTAATAACTACTCAATTTTAGTTTGCCTTTACAATTTATTAAAAGGTTAGTAACAAGCTGCTAGTTTTTGCTACCGCCGGAAGCAATAGCAGTAACCTGCCAATTCCCTGGATTTACAAGGCGTAGTCGCGGTGTCCCCTTGCTTGTAGTAGCCTAGGGAACGGCTTAAGCAG